GGAATTGAATGGGGTTGCAGAGGCGTTTCTTAGGCTTCAAAGAAGAAGAAGAAGAAAGAAGCGAAGAAAAGGAGAGGATGTGAGTTGAGTATGATAGAAGGCTGAAGTTGAGAGGGTGAAAGAACCCAGATCTGGGTTTGTTCAAACCCAGATCTGGAGAGGAAGAAGAAGAGGGGAAGAGAGGAGAGAGAGAAAGAATAAGAAAGGTTTAAAAAAAGTCATGTGGGCTCCATTAAAAAGGAAAGTTTAAAAGGTGATAATATGATGTGTAAAATAATATGCCACGTGTATAACATAAAATGCCATGGTAACAAAATTTTCTTAACTGGATTTACACGTCATTAAGATTCAAAAAGTCTAATGATTTTGCTGGCAAGTTAACGTGACACCTGTCATTTAACTGACGGAAGGACCATTTTGGTACCAAAAATGAAAGTTCAAGGATAATTTTGGTACTTTTTAAAGATGAGGGACAATTTTGGTACCAAAGTGTAAAGTTGAGGGACCAAAATGGTACTTAAACCTATAAATTAAGCCTAACCTTGAATCCTAAATCTTCTTATGATTGCTCTGATACCACATGTTGGAATTTTTAGGAATTGACATACGTAGAATTTAGAATACCAAGATTTAATAAAATAAATAACTTGTGTACCTTAAATCTTCATAATCAATATATTACCTATGAATCTTTAAGAATCTTCAAGAATCATCATAATTAGAGATTTCATGACTAAACCTACAAGATTTAAGTCTTCCTCTCTTTAATCAACTTCTGTATAGTGACAACTAATGAGTCATGACACTCACTAACTCTACTATTTATAGAGGTAGGATTCTCTGAATGGGAGAGGGGATCTAACCTATTATAATAATCTTTTGGACACCTCCATCAAATAACCCACATTTACTTTCAGGCCTTACACCTATTTCGATCACACTATATAAAACTGAGATAAAACTGAGATAAAACTTAGGTCCACTTGGATCACATTATTTTATTGGGCTTTACTAGTCTTTTTCATTTGATCCAATTTTTGAAAATCAAATACAATTAGCGACAGCCCGCATAGAAATTTCCAATAGTTTCTTCCTCCCATTCTCTTCTTAATCTTATTTGCTTCTAACCCCTTTTCTTCCTTTTTCATCCTCTCCAGTGTTCTCTCTCCTTTCCCCACTCTGCAATAGCAAATTCGGTGGATATCAAAATAAAAAATAAATAAATACCGAAATTTTTAGTATCCAATACCGAAATTTTCGGTATACTGAATTTTTGGTATCCAATACTGAAAAATGTCTGAGGCAATTTGGTTCGTGGAGTTATGCAGGGCAAAAAAGCATAACTTCATATAGTCTGGGAGCTGCTCTATTGCATTGATATCCCACCTGGAATCCAACAGAACAATTAAAGCATGAAAGAAATTATTAAGTTCAAATGAAAGCCACTACTAAGCACAAACCTTTCAATAGCATCAGTAAAAAGCTCAAGTTCATCCAGTGTTCCATAAACATCATAAACATCATCTATTGTTGTTATTAGTGAACCAACTTGTGTGGTCATTCTTCTAAAATATCCATACTGAGGTTGGAAAAATACTCCTGTAGTCCATAAGAAATTCTCCATCGATCTATCCCTGATGAACCTCAAATTTTTTCCAAGACCTGTTCCCTTCCACCACCTAATTTGTGCAAAGAAAAATTATTTTTCACATCATGAAATCCTTTTTGTTTTCTTGTTTGTTGTTTTTTTTTTTTTTTTTTCTAAAGGTTTAATTTGTATTTGTTGAGGTAAGTAAAGTTATTGAACTTCTTACATTGAGGCATGTTTTAGATCTTCTTGGAATATCGCTTGCACCATGTTGAAATCCAGCTTGGCAAGATCAAGCAAGAGGGGGTTCATATCTGGACTTCGTTGATAAACCTCAATGAACCATCTTGCTTCCATCCTTGGCATTCTCCAACGGAGTGGAAACTCCAGTGCATGCTCCAC